TGTAACATTTGCAGAAGACATCAAGACTCCTGCAGAACTACACTGAGAGATCAGTAGGTCTGTGAGGAACCTTATAAAGTCCCTTCACCAATTCCATTGCCTACAGACAGCCCCGTCAATTCTGTGGTCTCCTTGGCATTTATCTGATCTGCTCCTTAGGACTTCCCAAACCAGTGATGCTCCTGGGAACTGGCCTACTGCCAGGAGGGGTCTGCAAGGAAGAGGTGAGTGCACAGCAGATGGGATGGGTTATGTGAGCACTGACAAGGGGGAGACATGGGGACAGGGAAAGAGCTGCCAGCAGGGACAACTCCAGGAAAAAGAGATGTGGGCAGGGGGTGAGAGGAATGTGTTGGCAGCAAAGGCTGGGAGGAGGGATTTGGGGGCCTCTCTGCCATCCCATCAGTCAGCACGCTTTTCCCCTAACAGGTCCCCTGGTTTCATCTCCCACTCAGCAAAGCCTCTTCCCTCAAAGCCCTTGGGGTCCAGGACAGGAGCAGCCTCCTCTGTAGCCAGAGCTCCTGCAGGGCAGACTCATTCTCCTGAGTGCTCATCTATCCCTCCCTGGCCTTGCCTCACTTCAGAAAAGCACCGGGGCATTTCTCCTTCTTTCTCCACCTGTCCCGGCTGCTGCTGCTCTTGTTTTCAGGCTCTCTGTGGATGGGGTTTGCAGCAGCAGCTCAGCAACTGACCCTGAAGGTCCTGCCACGCAGGTGGGCCCATGGGAGCAAGGTGCCCAAGCCCCCTTCAAACCTGCCAGTCTCTGGGCAATGCAGTCCCTGGCGTGGGGATAAACCTGATTTTGCGATAAGGACTCCCCATTGTCAGGGCATCCAGAAGTGCAGAGCTCTTCCCTGGGGAGAGGCGTGTGGCGATCATCTCAACTTTGAAACTGGATTCCTCTGCTCTAAGCAGTATCCAATTCCCTTTCAGAGGAACGTCTGAGTATAGTTGTCCTCCAGCTTAAAGAGGTGCAAACCAAGAGCAGCTGGCAGCAAGACTGATAGGCTGGCTCTCCTACCTGTGCACTAAGGCTTTGTCTCTTTGCCTCCCAGGGCTCTCACCATAGCACTTGTAGTGTAGCAGAAATGCCAGGGATGTCTACCTTCAAAAAACAATCCCCAGATGTGAATGGGGAAAGAAGAAAATAAACACACACACACACCCCCTTGCTCTGTTCTGCAGAGAGGTGAAGTGGAAAGAACAATGGCAAAAAGCGCTTTTATGTCAAGAGTGGGTATAATCACACATCACTCCTGTTTCCCATTTGCCTGTCGGTGCAGAGCAGGGCTGACTCCTCCACAGAGGACTTCCCTGCTCCCCATTGCACCCCAAACAAGCACAAACCAAATCTTGAGCCAGGGACCTATACAAGGTCTTAATGGCATGACAGACCGTGTGTGTGTGCGTGTGTGTGTGTGTGTGAGGAACAGGAGATGTTTTGCTTAGAGAAATCTGTCCTCACTTGTCACTGCATATTCCTCCTTAGCTAGCCCCCTGTGCCCCAAGGAATCAGATGCCCAATGGCAGCTCCACCACCGAGTTTCTCCTTCTGGGATGCGGGGATACATTGGAGCTGCAGCTCTTGCACTTCTGGCTCTTCCTGGGCATCTACCTGACTGCCCTCCTGGGCAACGGCCTCATCATCACCACCATAGCCTGCGACTACCGCCTCCACACCCCCATGTACTTCTTCCTCCTCAACCTCTCCCTCCTCGACCTGGGATCCATCTCCACTACACTCCCAAAAGCCATGGCCAATTCCCTCTGGGAAACCAGGGCCATTTCCTACTCAGGATGTGTTGCACAGGTCTTTTTCTTTCTCTTCCTGATTGGAGGAGAGTATTGTCTTCTCACTGTCATGGCCTATGACCGCTATGTTGCCATCTGCAGACCCCTGCACTATGGGACCATCCTGACCAGCAGAGCTTGTGTCCACATGGCAGCAGCTGCCTGGGGCAGTGGCTTTCTCTATGCTGTGCTGCACACGGCCAATACATTTTCACTCCCACTCTGCCAAGGCAATGCTGTGGACCAGTTCTTCTGTGAAATCCCCCAGATCCTCAAGCTCTCCTGCTCAGATGCCTACCTCAGGGAGGTTGGGCTTCTCATGGTTAGTGGCATTTTACTCTTTGGTTGTTTTGTTTTCATTGTGCTGTCCTATGTGCAGATCTTCAGGGCCGTGCTGAGGATCCCCTCTGAGCAGGGGCGGCACAAAGCCTTTTCCACATGCCTCCCTCACCTGACTGTGTTCTCCCTGTTTATCAGCACCGGCACATTTGCTTACTTGAAGCCCCACTCCATCTCCTTCCCATTGCTGGATCTGGTAGTGGCCGTGCTGTACTCTGTGGTGCCTCCAGTGGTGAACCCTCTCATCTACAGCATCAGGAACAAGGATCTGAAGAATGCCTTGAGGAACTTATTTCAATACATGCTTCTTCAGCATCCATAACGTGTCCATCATTTCCATAGGAATTCCAGGGTATCTCAGCAAAAACTAGGTCTATGTTTTGTTCATATCTGTCCTTTTCTGGTGTGTTTTTTTTTTTATTTTGTTTATACAGCTGCTCATATTATTTCCCTTTAAATAATTCTACATCTTTTCTTCTGAGCTAAAGACATCATGTACATATGGAGTCAGGCGCTCTCTGTATAGGCAAACTCAATAAAGAAAACAGCAGACAATTATTTGTCTCAGCTCCCATCTCTTATATCTCCTCTGTAGCTTTGGGTGCAGTGCCAGCCTACAGAGGGGTTTAGGAGCCAGGGGCCCAGCTGCTCCATGGAGGAGTAGCCCTGGTGGCCCTTGGGGCTGGCCCTCGGTGCCTCAGTGGACAGACCTTTTCTGCCACCTGCAAGTTGGGGCTGCTGCTTTCCAGAAGCCACGGCCATGGACAAGAGCAGGATGTTGTCTTTTCAGTGATGGGCTCTCCTCACTTCCCCTCTTTCCAGCTTTCTGTTAACCCTAAAATCTTGTGTAACTTGAGGCAGTCCTGCTGTTTCCACAGTGGCACCCCTGTGGCTGCAGGCAATGCGAACCACTGTGTCAGAGCTGGTGTCCCTGCTAACCAAGACCAAAGGGGCTCCTCAGGGCAGAGCCAGAAGACCGGGTGCCTCTTCCAAAGCTGGTTCTAGCAATACACCCAAGGAGCTGCTCCCTGAAAAGGCCTTTGGATGTCCTGGGGTTCTCAACAGATTCAGGGGGACAAACTCAGACTCTCAGCATGATCTGTTAGGGGCCAAGGACTGAATCAAGAGCTCACGCAGACAGTGACTGGTCTTTGACTTCTCTGCCTGGCCCTGTCTCACCTGCAGTGGGGCTGATGGCAGATGCCACCCTGGAGAGGAACTGGGATCTGCCAGGGAAGCTCAAGGGATCTCCAAGGACAGCATGTGAGTCTGGGTGGGTGAGTGACACCTCTTAAAATGAGTGACTATGCAAGGTAATGTCTCCCAGAGGAAAAGGTGAACCTGAGGAGCCCATAGGCAAATGAGGGCCTTCCAATGCCAGGAGTGGCTGTGAGGAGCAAGCAGGCAAAGAGACATAAGACTGGAGAGTGGTTCAGGACGCTGTCTTGGAAAGCCTCATGGGCTGGATCTAGTGCAGCCCTGCCCTGGCCTTTGTGCCATTGGAGACACCCCTTTGTCCTGCCCAGCCCCGTCCTTTCTTGTTAAGCCATGAGAGAAGATGGAAAGGGGCTCAGCAGTAATGATTTCTTCCTGGTTGGTTCTGCTCCGCACTCCAACCAGCATGGCCAGCAATGGAAGCAATCAGGAACAGTCAACCAGGCCAGCTTGGACACGCTCACCTGCAGAAAGGCTCTCCGGGGAGCAGGGATGTCCCTAGAGAAGAGCAAGGAGCCTTTCTTTTCTTGCAGGGAAGACTCAATGAAAAAAAGAAGCTCATTTCTTTGGGCACCCACTTGGGCAGGCTGCTCTGCTGCTGGGAAGGGATTCTTGTGCTGGCCTTGAGAGAAGGGCTGGCACTGACAGGGCAGAGGCAGTCTGTGGTGGTCATCTCCTGGATCCAAGACCAGGGATCCTCCATTTTCAATGACCTCCATATCTTCCTGCCATGCCCAGCTTCCATTCCTGGGGTTCATAGGCAGGCAGAGACCCCTCTCTGCCTCCCAGCAGCTGCTGTGCCCTTCAGAGGGGCTGGGACTGTGGGGTGAGTGCCCAGAGCTCTGCAGCACCCTGTGGTGGGCAGTGTCATGGGGCCAACCCAGATCAGGCTGTTCTGCAGGACTGGGCTGAGGAGAGGGAACCTGTGGTGGGGAGAGCTGGGGAGGGTCAGGGATGGGATGGAAAGTGCCCAAGAGAGAAAAACACCAGTTCTGGATGAGCTATGTGACCATACAGGGTAAGGACACACTCCAGTGGATGTGTGGTGCAGAGCCAGGTTTCATGGAAGGGAGTCAAGACATGCAGGTGCAGGAAAGAGGAGGCTGGTCTATTCCCTTGGTGGCATGGAGAGACTGGGAAGGTGTCTAGGGCATTTGTCACCCCCCAGCCTCTTCCATTGGCCATGTCAAGCACTGGCCACTCACAGCAGCTTATGGGTGAGGTTTGCTCTGTGGCCATCTCCTTCCTCCTGCTGATCTTGGTGCCTGTCAGGGGAACAGCCAGCCCTGCCTGGCCTGTCTTCTTGCCCAGACCTTAGCAGAACACAGAACTGGGATGTCTGTGAGTCTCTGGTGCATTCAGTGATGTAGACGAGGGGATAGAATACACCCTCAGCAAATTTTCAGAGGAAACTAAGGTGGGTGGAAGTGTTGATCTGCTGGAAGGGAGGAAGCATCTACAGAGGGACCTGGAGAGTCTGGACCGATGGGCCGAGGCCAATCGTGTGAGGTTCAACAAGGCCAAGTGCCGGGTCCTGCACTTGGGTCACAAAAACCCCCATGCAACTCTACAGACTTGGGGAAGAGTGGATGGAAAGCTGCCTGGTGGAAAAGGACCTGGGGGTACTGGTTGACAGACAGCAGAATATGAGCAAGCAGTGTGCCCAGGTGGCCAAGAAGGCCAACGGCATCCTGGCTTGTATCAGGACTAGTGTGACCAGCAGGAGTAGGAAAGTGATCGTGCCCCTGTACTTCGCACTGGTGAGGTTGCCCCTCGAATGCTGTGTTCAGTTTTGGGCCCCTCAATACAAAAAAAAGGACATGGAGGGGCTGGAGCATGTTCAGAGAAGGGCAAGAAAGCTGGTGAGTGGTCCTGGAGCCCAAGGCTGATGGGGAGCAACTGGGGGAGCTGGGGTTGTTTAGCCTGGAGAAGAGGAAGCTGAGGGGAAACCTTATCGCTCCCTACAACTGCCTGACAGGAGGTTGAAGCAAGGTGGGTGTTGGTCTCTTCTCCCAAATAACAAGTGACAGGACAAGGGGAGATGGCCTCAATTTGCACCAGAGGAGGTTTAGATCAGATATTAGGAAATAATTCTTTACTGAACGGATTATCAGGCACTGGAATGGGTTTCCCAGAAAAGTGGTTGAGTCCCCATCCCTGGAGACAGGTAGATGAGGTGCTTAGAGACAAAGTTTAGTAGTGGACAGGTACCATTGTCACAACCCAAGCGGAGCTCTACCATTGTCACAACCCCAAAGAAACAGTGCCATTCTTACTGGAATTTCAGTGCCTACTGGCCCGATTGCGGTCAGGATGACAGTTTACAAATGCCTAAAGCCTATCATGTCATGACCCTATAAAACAGCGGTTCAAAGTGAGGCCCCTTTGAGCTCTCCTGGACTGCAGTGGGCTGTGACCAGCACCTCCCTCTGAGTGGGATGCCTCTCAGAGCTGGCAAAGTCTCAAGTTTGCTAAAACCAGAGATCCATCACCAAAGACCAGCAGCGGAGCCTCCTTGAGGCTCAACCCTTGCTTTTGAGAAATGCTGGAGACATTTGATGTATTTCACTGAACTTGAGGGGAATTTTTAACAGCTATACCTTTATATATATAAAAATATAATCATGTCTGTGTGTATGCATGTGTGCCTTGATTTAAGTAATCTGTAAATGTGTGATTTAATTACAAAGTGAGTCCTAGGCTGCTGCTAGACAAAAATTATCCTTAGACATAAACCACTGACCAAGCCTGAGACTAAGATTGAACCCAGCCGCACCTAGGCTTCTCTCTGAGAAGGAGTCCAGGAAGCAATGGGGCCTGCTCATGACTCAACAGGAGGGTTTTTTGAGGTAAAATAATAATTTGACAGAGTTCAGTGAATTCAATGGAATTTAACAACGTTTAAGAGGGGCTTGCCAAGGTTCAACAAGTCTGAATGTCAAAGCACACCTTACTAATAACTACATGGACGAAACATACAAAGGAAAACTGAGTTAGAATGATTCACACAGAGACCAGAGATGCAAAGGGTAAGGAAGATCCTCCCATTGAGTCATGAGGTTAACAGTGGCCATCATCGCTTTCATAATTCTATGTGGAGCCCCAGTGCAGCTTGGTTCAGTCTTAGTCTCAGACTTGGACAACAGTTTATGTTTGATAGAATTATCTATACAAAGTTTACAATCATTAACACTGAGTATCTACATGGATTAGTAACACTTAATTAATATTAATTCACCATGCAGTCAAGGTTACCAGACAAAATCAAAGTTACCATACTCCAAGTTTATGCACAATATTCATCACTTGCCTAAGATCTGCTGTTGTTAAAATGTCTCCCTGCCTTGACGAGCAACTTTGAGAGGTGCCACAGCTCCAGGGGACATCACTGCAATTCAGCACCACCAGCAGGCAGAGCTCCAAGAAGGCTCACTTAAGCTATCACATTCCTGGGATAAAGTGTTTGGCTCATAGGGCAACTACGTGAAAAGGAAAATAATCACAGAATCATTAAATCATTCAGGTTGGAAAAGACCTCCAAAATCATTAAGTCCAACCCTCACCCCCCCAAAAAAAGGTAGGCATGAGGCTCCTTGTACCCACAACTTTCTTTCTTCCTTGATCACATGACCGGTGTTCCAAGCTCATAAGCATCAATGCTCATGGTGTCACTCTGCTCCTTTGTGGGTTTTCAGAGAACAGATAGAAACACCGTGGCTCAGGCCTTTGCCTCTTCTGGAGCCTGCACCAAAAAACTCCCCAGGTGAGATGGGAGGAGCTTCAAAAACCCCAAACCTCTCCAACTGCCTTCTGCTAACTCTGATCCTTAGTACAGAGTGTGTAAGTACAGTACTGGAGCCTGCACCAAACCTCCACCAGTCTGGTAGAGCGCATCCATCACGCCACTCCCAGTGTCAACTGGATGCCTTAAAACCCTCTCAGTACAGACTGGGACCCATCCCAGAACAACGGGGATCCCTTGAACCTCTTCCAGTACTGACAGGGCCCCATCCCAGAACAAAGGGGATCCCTTCAACACCTCCCAGTACAGACCTGGCCTCCTCCAAGTGCAGTCTGGACCCCTTTAAGCCCTCCCAGTAGAGACTG